GTGTTGAAGGGCCAAAGTCTGGGTCACACACACACACACACACACACACACACACACACACACACACACTGTTGTGCTCATTATGAGGAAAATAGGACAGAAGAAGCAGAGCAGCAGATTCAGAGTGACGTTCAGCAGCAGAGTTAGTCTGGTTGCTGATGCAGCAGCAGGTGAGCAGGTGAGCAGCGTACCTGAGCCCAGTGGTTCTTGAAGACGATCATGCAGGTCTCCGGGTCGACTCCTCTCAGCGTCAGGGACTTCTTCCGGTTGCCCCTGACGACCACCGAGGCCATCATGTTGCCCGGCTACAGGTGGTGGCTACAGGTGTTGCAGCATGCTCCTGCCTCCAGCATCAGGTGGTGCTGGGCAGGACGCGGCGCTGCAGGTGGAGCAGACACACGAGGCTAACGCTGCTAGCTGTGTATGAAGCTGTTCCTGGAAGCCTGCAGCCGATCGTCTGCTCTGTGACCACGGTTCTACTCACATCAGCCAAATCATCGTTAGCTCAGATATCTTCTGTTAATTTGAAAGAGAAGCTCCGTGTGACACAGACTGAGACGTGGTCAGTCAGTGTTTGCTGCTATTTAATCTGCAGACTCACTGAGCCAGGGCTCTGTTCAGGTCCTCTCCTCCACACTTCCACTGTTTCTGTTTCTTTAAACACATTTCTTCCCTAAACAGGACGAGTTCACTGTTTCCTGTCTTCACTAACGAACCAATGACCACTCAGGGTTTACTCACACCGTCTCCACATCCACCAGTTCTAACTGATCAGGGGTCAGTGTGTGTTAGGGTCAGGTGTGTAGATCCGTCTGTGTGTGTTGGTGTGTCCGTCCTGAAGCAGCAGCTGAGGCTCAGGACAGGAAGAGCAGCTAAACAGGAAGTGGTTGTTGACTCCTCCCTGGGCGTAGCAGGAAATTCCCAGGATTCCCAGCAGCAGTGTTTTTACCTCAGAGGTGGAGTTCAGGGTGGAGCAGCATCCGGCCGTCCTGCAGAGACAGACACACACTGAGGCCCGACTCACAACAAGACGCCATCACTCACATTACAACAGCATTCAGCTGGTCCGCAGCACAGCGGAGCCCCGGTCTGGGCGACCCGGCAGGTCCGGTCTGGGCGACTTAGTAGGTCCGGTCTGGGCGACCCGGCAGCTCGTTTAGCTCACTGGGGCTTGTTTTTAATGAGATATACAGTCCTGCAGGAACCAGAACAACAACAACTAGAGGGACCAAAGGACAAAAAGCCAAAGAACAACCAGCAGAAAACACAAGAGACGATCACAGAAAGAAGTAAAACCACCACAAAGACACGACATTAAAACCACCAGCGCAGCTGAAAACAGACTCGTGTCCTCACAACAGGAGCAACACAAGGACACACACAGTCTACAAATCCATGGGCACCATCTGGGCTCTAATCTGCAGGATGAACCGTCCTGTTGCTGTGTGACGCCGCCAGTGTGTGTCTGTAGTTGTGTGTCTGTAGCTGTGTGTCTGTAGTTGTGTGTCTGTCGTTGTGTGTCTGTAGCTGTGTGTCTGTAGTTGTGTGTCTATAGTTGTGTGTCTATAGTTGTGTGTCTGTAGTTGTGTGTCTGT